ATGATGTAGCTCAGTCAATTCTCCACCGATTTACAAGAAAAAAAATGCGCCGGAATTGTATAGATAGTCTCTATTCAAAGGCATAAAAATCTACAATGTGTCTGATTTTGGTGGCTATGCAACATCTATTAACCCAATGTTGCCTACTCGAGCTATCAGCTTCACAATGGATAGGATTTTGGCTTAGATTTGCAGAGACCAAATAACCAATTAGTATGTGGCTTCAATCCTACGGGTCCATAATTTTAATTACTACCCCATAACTATGTTAAAGTGCTCATTCTTAGGGGTGATCTCGACATAGGGGCCACAAATAAAAATTCTGGATCCGTAGATCGATTGGAATTCAAATTCTAAGTAATATCCTCTTACAAACCATGTCCATACGTGTTGTGGTTGTAAAGTTATAGTCCAATCTCTCCAGAGTGCCAAATTTGGCAGGGAAAACAAGCTGATTTCGCATTTTTGGAGCAATAAATACAATTTCTACATAAAAAACACTCTCAGTGGATTCAATCACATCATTCCCTCAAACCCACTGCAAAAAATATATTGGATTGGTGTTGTGGAAGGTACAAAGTCCATGTCTCAAGAAATTGGCCCTGTGACGCTATGTCACGGCATGTCACTGGTCATCACACTTACCAAGGATTGTGCAACACCATTATAAGACGGGTCAAAGTTGCCCTTGATCTTCGACCTGACGCATAGTTGAGTTCCGATATCTAACTAGATGATTGTTACGTTGTCCGACTCGAAACAAGCCGAAAAGTGGCTTTAGAGGTTTCTTCCCTCTGTCCCCTTACCGATACAACTGTTCGTCTCGGGTCAAACATCATGACAAATTTGCAATGTAAATAATTCAGGTATAGTAACGGGTCCATTATATTGCTCGAAAGTTGCCAATGAAAGATTGGCAACTTTCGAGCAGTAAGTACTCTATCCGACAATACTCTCAACGGTTCAACAAAAATTAAACGACCCCCCGAACAGCCCAAAACGCCATCTCAACATTCCGACCACTTCCATGTCCCTTCCTCCGATACATCCCACTATACGAGACATCAAACGAGAAGAAGCCTTCAAACAGTTCCATATTCTTCCCCTCCGCGTACAGCTTGCTCCAAAGCGGCCTCATCTTGATTTCCCCTGACGCGGACGAGACCCCGCAATTGTTTTCATCGAGTTCGAGATCTCCGGCCACCCCCCGCCCCTGCACCGTCTTGCTAATGTGAACAGATTCCGCCATCTGGCTTGAAGTGAACTTGACCTCCGTCTTGTTGATGCCCGTAATCTTGATAGGGAATGGCAACTCCTCCATTGGGTCGCAGAGGACGAACGACCTGAAGGTGCCTGACGCTCCGGTGGTAAGTTCGTCTGGTAAGGTGATTTGGGCGGTGTTGTCTTTCTTGGCTTGGTACGTCAAGATTGTCTTGTAGAGCTCTTCATGGTTCGGAGTTTTGCTGCCCGGAGGCAAGTAGACTTTGTGCAGGAATGGAAGCTTCATTCCGTATAAGTCGAATTTGCCGGTGAACTTGATCTCGGGGTCTGCGGTCCTGTCGATAGCGTTCGAGGCCGTGGGCTGGAAGGAGATGAGTCAATGGTCGGGAGGATAATTGAGATTCGACATACCTTCGGGACTACGGAAGCGACCTCGTTGACGGAGTCCGAAGACTTTTCGGTAGTTCCTTCAAGGGGCTCGGCTGAATGAACGACGCGTCAGGAGGCGAAATGCAGATAAAAACGCCTGATAATCACAATTTTCCTTCGGGGATGACGTTTTGACGCGCTTGTTGGGTCCTTGGGTCTGTGTCTCGCCGGCGGCATCCACGTCGACAACCTCCCTGGTCGGGTCAGGTTCTGGGGTCCGAGCGCGTTTCTTTCCTTTCGCTGCGGCCTTTTTCTGAAGGTGGTTGGTCAGGCTAGAGACCCTTTGTCGAAGAAAATACTCACAGGTGGCATGTTTGGCTGTGAAGTGGTTACAGTGAAGTTCTGTCAAGAAGAGGTGATATGTGGTCTGAGAATGAGGTGCAGAGGGTGGGAAAAAAAAAGAGAGGTTGACTGGGGAATTGTGCAAGTTGTAGGCTTTTATATAAAATGCACCTGTAGGCTGCGACCCGTCTAAATGACGTTTGAACGCCACTGGCAAATATTGGCGCGGGAACCTTTGAGTCAAAATAGCGGGTATCCAGGGCGACGGTCCAAGGGTCAAGGCTACAATGTTCCATATAAATACTGCCCAAAGTTGCTTTTTCAATGTTGTGCACATTTTACACCAGAACACCAAACTTTGGAGAAGTTAGGGCAGTCACTAGAAAGAAAATAGGAGCGAATGGTAAGGGGGCGTAATTCAGCAACTCAACAGGTAGAGCTTGGAGCAAACACACCATTTTTTTCATTGCAAGACGAACTCGATTCAACTGGAAAGTCCCGGCCGCAAAGTTGGAGGTCGCACTCTCAGCCACCGCACGAGCCTTTTCTAAACACCCACAAACATCGGAGATGTAACTTTGTGACTCTACAAGGAAAGAACCTTCATCACTGTCGACGACGACGAGCTCCCACTCTTTCCTCTCTTCTTCTATCGTGCGGTGCCCCGTAAACCCAATTTTAATTTTCGAAAGATGACTAACATATCATCAGGACACAAGCGGTCTTGGGAGGGCGTAGATGATGGTTTACACAAAAGGCCTAGGGACAGGGAAGAGCCGAAGGACTGGAGGGACGTATATCTGAAGTCGCCGGTGCGAAAACCACCGCCAGGACCAAAGGATAGCTTGGAGAGGCGCGACAGCCCTAGCCGATATGACAGGCATGATAGTCGGAAGTTCAGCGATAGCCGTAGACGGCGGGAGCCAGAGTACCGCAGATCAACAGACCAAGGGAGGGATAGGGAGCGACATGATAGAGACCGCGACCGTCGCAGTGAGCCACGTAGGGAGGGTCATGCTCGATCCAGGTCGCCACTACGCAGGACCACCAGCCGCGCATACTCGCCCAAGCCCAAACACAAACCTGAAGAGGAGAGGGAGGAAGGAGAGTGAGTATCGTGAGACCATAAATCGAGTTTAGCCTTGACGTATGCTAACTTGCTTGCTTACAGGATATCTCCTCGTCCAAGCATATCACCTCCGCCCTCAGAATCCAAAGACCAGCCACTTGCGAAGCTGGTACCGGAGCCAGTACCGAAGTCACCCGTGGTGCTTCCAGCAGAAATGGAACTAGATATACCACCATCTCCACCACCCGTTGAAGACGTCCTTGCAGCTCGCCGTGCAAAACGCCTCGCTATCTTGGCCAAGTATGCCGGCGTTTCCAGCGTTGCCACCAGCGTCAGCCCCAGCCCAGGGCCTAGCAGTGCGGTCCAGCCGCCTACTACTTCATCCTCAATTTCTGATCGTGTATCTCAGACCCCCAGTGCTATTGATATGATTGCTGCTCCGCCTGCGGTGGCAAATGGTGCATCCAGTCAGTATCTCATCATGCACTTGTCTAAATGCTAATGTTCTTTCTCGTAGGCAAAAGGGAGTCTATGTCTGCCTCACCTACTCCTCATGATTTTGAGCTAGCTAAAGATGAAGATCAAGAGGAAGAGGTTCCCCGCGAAGGCGAGGGGGCAGAGCAAGTTTCGGCCGCGGATTATGACCCCAGTCTAGATCGTAGAGAAGATGAACACAAACGATTCAAGGAGCCTATCCCAAAGAATGAGCCTACGGAAGAGGAAATAGAAGTCATTGAAGAGGAAGAGGAGGAAGATGATGTCGACGACATGTTCGCGGCATTGACGTCTGAGAAAAAGCCCAAGAAGGTCAAGAAAGTTGTTGTAAGTTGACTTCTTCCTTGTGTCGCAGTTTTGACTTCAATTTTCTGCCATCTAGAAAAAATCAATTGCACCTGCGCTGATCACTACTACCCTGGATTCTGCAGCGGACCCCGAAGGCTACTATAGTGTTATTTTGGGTGAGCAGCTAGATGGTGGCCGCTATCAAGTATTCTCTTCTCTTGGCAAAGGCATGTTCGCCAACGTCGTCCGGGCCCGGGTGTTACAAGGCGAGTTGGGCGAGGTTGGCAAGGAAGTGGCCATCAAGATCATCCGATGCCAGGAGTCAATGTAAGTTGACATTGGGTTCCCCCTATTCCTCTCTCATCTCTTCCTAGGTACCGAGCAGGCTTGAAGGAGGTCCAGATTCTCAATAAGCTGAAGCAAGCTGACCCGGATGATAAGAAGCACATTGTGCGACTTGAGCGTACGTTTGAGCATCGGGGTCATCTTTGCCTGGTGTTTGAATCAATGAGGTTCGTCCTTCCTAGCCCATTTGTCTTTGTACCGGTCTGATCCCACCATTTAGCATGAACCTTCGCGACGTTGTCAAGCGATTTGGAAAAGACATTGGCCTTAACATCCGCGCTGTCCGTGCTTATGCCCACCAGCTTTTTTTGGCCTTGAGCTTGCTCCGGAAAGCAAACATAATGCACGCTGACATAAAGCCTGATAACATTTTGGTATGCTCCTCGTCGGCCGCTTAAACTGCTCCTGACAGCCCCTTTCTAGGTCAATGAAAACAAAACGGTACTCAAGTTGTGTGACCTTGGGTCAGCCTCTGATGCGTCGGAGAACGATGTCACCCCTTATCTCGTCAGCAGATTCTATCGCGCTCCCGAGATCAGTTGAGTGAACTGTTTCTCAGGTGAAAGTATGTGAGCTAACCATACATCTTCCCTCTAGTCCTCGGCGTTCCCTACGACCCCTCTCTCGACATCTGGTCGATTGGGTGCACACTGTATGAACTCTACACGGGCAAAATCCTTTTTCCCGGTCGATCTAACAATCAGATGTTACTTCTTATGATGGAGCTCAAGGGGCGCTTCAACAGCAAAGTGATCAAAAAGGCTGCATTTGGTGACACATACTTTGACGATATGGGTGGGTTTGAGAGCGTCGAAAAAGACCGGATAACGGGGAATGTAAGTAGCCGATCGAGACTCAGGAGGAATGGTCAACTGACGGGCTAAATGTCTTAGGATGTCGTAAAGAAGGTACACATCTCAAAGCCGACGCGGGATTTACGGGCTCGATTGATGCCGCCTGCATCGGTGAAGATGAAGGATGATGAAAACAAGATGATCGTGTCTTTCATCGACCTCCTGGATAAGTGTCTCTCGCTAGACCCCAGCAGGAGGATCACCCCTCGCGAGGCGCTTGCGCACCCCTTCATTCGTGGATGAGTTTCAAGGTGTGGCTTTCGAAGGAGATGGGGCTCAGATCATCTCCGCTTGCAGTTTGTCTTGTATTCGCATCATCTGCTTGATGCGACCTAACTTCTTTTCCTCGCACATCATGCATCAAGGCTATGTATTTCTACCACAAGTATTCTACACAATTCAAGTTCCGTTAACTTACACTTATTACCTTGTGGGGATATCATATCGAAGTATCTTTTATCCAGGATGTATTTGAGGACGACCATAAGCGAGGAAGAATGGACCGACACCCAGGCGCGTTCGCTGACAGTTGAATTCGACTCGGACAACGTTTGGCCGGATATCAAACAAATCGGATTTTGAAACTTGTGTGGGCTTGGCAACGAACGAGCGATGACCGCTACAAAACGGCTCAGGGAGATATTGGTCCACCTTGCTTCTGGGATCAGAACATCCTCACCATCGTCTGCTTTTGATTCTGCGACTGAGGAACACGCTCAGGCTGCTGATATTGTTAGGAAAGATATAATGGCGTTACCGACTTTTGATGAACTACCCAAGTACAAGAACTTTGCGGGGTGTGCGTGGGGTGTTTGGGGCCCTGATGATCAACTTGGGACGGTCAACCTTTTGACGGACGAGGTTGTGCAGCAGGCTGCGGCTGAGGAGATCAAGTATGTTCGCGTATTGTGTGATATGTTACACGATGCTGATGGGCTGTTCGAACTTTAGGACAGGGAGGTCTGTTTCGTTGAATTGGTGCGTTCCTCTGATCTTTGAATACGGGTGAACGCCCTGCTAACGTTAGCCCCCTCCTTTGCTTGCAGGCCTATCAATTTCCCGGAGAAGGTTCGTCCGGGGTACAATGCTCCTGACGTTGAGGCTCACCCCTATGATTTCAGCCAATGTTCGGGAGGAAAGGTCCGGAGGTGTGCGCTCTCGCCAATCATGGTGCAGATTTACCGCTGCGGGACGACGAGATTCATGTTGTCCGTCCTCTTCCCTTCATACTTTTTGGTGTTGTGGCCTCTGATGGGACCTCTCTGCACCTTCCTAGAACACGCAAAGTGGGACGCAGTGGGATGGGATGAGGCATTTTGGTGTGCTTGAGCATAAGGTGTATTATCAAGGGTTTGTATCAATTTGCATATTCAGTTTGGGGTATCAACTCGTGTTTGTAGGGTTTCAGCATCGGACGTCCCCGTAGGTCCTTTGCACCTCCCCGACCCGAATATGATCGACCCTGTGAACACGAACCTGGGGGTCCAGAGTACGTCATTCGCCTCGCTGCATTCCCCACGTCAATCCTAGACTAGTGCTCAGCTTACTCACTTGAACATTTAAACAGACTGGGCCACGCACGGTATCTGTGGACGCGGTGTCCTTCTGGACCTTGTTCGATACTACACGAAGGAAGGCAAGCCATTACCGTACGACCCGTGGACTACGCATGGGATCAGCGTGGCTGAGCTGGAGGCTGTTGCCGAGGCGCAGGGCGTGAAATTTAGGGCTGGGGATATCTTGCTCTTGAGGGTAGGGTTCATTCAGAAGTATCATCAAGTGACTGGGGAGGAAAGGGATGCGCTGCCGGGCAGGCCGGAGACTTTGTGAGTTTTCCTTTTGTATGGCTCAAAGGGATTCAGATCTGGTGCTAATGTATTTCTACTTGCTTTGTTTGGTAGCGCAGGGATTGAACAAAGCGAGGGCATGAAGAAGTTTTTGTGGTAACTTGTCTTTCTTTGTTCCCTTTTGTGACATTCTGGCTTGCTGATGTGGATGGTTAGGAATAACCACTTTGCGGCTATTGCTTCTGATCAGCCCGCTTTGGAGGTGCGCAATTGTTACCGTCAGCCCGTCGTGGATGAGGATTTGACGAACTTATCACCCAGAGCTGGCCTGCGGAAGTAACCACATATCTACATCAGGTACGTGCGTATAACTGGTGATCCGTTCTAAATGAATGAATTGGCGCCGCCGTGCTCGTATAGACTATTTTAGGGTTAGTCCCTTCATCAGCAAACCTTGTGTAATTCAGGTGATTAACAACGAATTAACAGCTTGTGGGGTATGCCGCTCGGTTGGTGTATTTGCCAATAAGATCTCGGAGTTACATTGTCCTTACGATCGTTTAGGCGAATTCTTCGACCTCGAGAAGTTGTCCGAAGTTTGTGCTGAAACAGGGCGTTACACGTTTTTCTTCTCGTCCTGGCCCATGCATATGTACGCATTGTCTTGTAAATCTCTCTTTGTCTCTTCTGACGGCTCGCCGATAGCATCGGAGGATGCGCCAGCCCACCCAACGCGGCGGTGAGTACTGCAGTTCCATTCTTGGTCATTGTCCTGATGTTTGCCACTCCTTACCCAAGGCGATGTTCTAATTTCTACCCCTCGTGCATCTCTGCATGGCTTTTAACGACGTATTAAGCTCGAATGAAATGAATGGAGTGCCGGGGTGTTCAAGTTTTTTTATGTACATGTGCATACACGTAGTTGTGGTCCCTGCAAGGATTGTTTTTAACCTGGACGCGTTCTGGGGTACCATATGGACTGTGCACGTGACGTCCAAGTTGTTTCCATCACTGAGCTCGTGTTCGCTGTTCTTCGTTCTTACTTTCGTCGGCGCTGGGTGGCACGATGAGCAGCAGTCGGAGAGAGTCGCGCGCCTCTCTGGGCTCGAGGCAGAACGACGCCCTCTTCGAATTCGAGAACTGTACGTGTCCAAGGGTATCACACGGATCATGAGCTAACCTGTGGCATGCAGTTAAGAAGAAATTCCTCCTCGCCAACAAGCATATTACAAAGTGCGTTCTTTTCGACCATATATGACGGTGGTTAATCGGAGTTGTAGACTCAATTCAACACTGAGCGTCCGAATCGAAGAGCTCAATGCCCAAATATCAACATTGTATGTTGAGAACCTCAAGTTGCGTGCGTCAGAAATCGCCCTGGAAGCACAGCTCAAGCGCGAGCGGGAAAAGTCGCGAAAGGTCATGGCCGATGCAGAGGCTGCCGTACGTTTGCTTTTAGTTCGGATGCGTTTGAGAAAACTGACACCGTCTTGCAGAGCCTTAACTTGTCGAAACAATTGAGTTATCTTCGTCAAACTTTCAATATAGGATTGACACCCGCGACACCACCTACGCCTCCGTCACCGCGAGTAACCAAGAGGCCACAACCACCACCACCTACATCGCCCACTACACAGGGTACACGCATCGCCAGGACTCCAAATGTCCCGGGGATTTTTGAAGAAGAGGAGCCCTCCTCTTCTTCATCCGACGAACGCGATGAAGCAGCGAAAGCTGTATCTCCACCTCATCGTAAGTCCAAGTCCAAGCCACGCCTCTCAGCGTCCAAGCTGCCACTGCCCATGCGGGTGACTTCGCCAACGCCGCTTCCCACCCCAGCACCAGCGTCAACGTCCACGAGAATACATCTGGATCTGAGCGTTGTATCCACTGGGTCGAAACGCAAGCCTATGCGAAGACAGAGTGGCTTGTTGACCGTTAAAACGGACGCGCTGTCAGTACCACGCGCAGCAAGTCCGGCCTTTGGGTCTCCTATACGGCTGGAGGCAGGTCGAGCTGAGGAAGAGGAAGAGATGGCAGTTGACATGGAGGTGACGACAGATTCTTCACCGCCGCCCGAAAGGGAGAAGAAGCGGGGGAAAGCAAAGGAGCGAGATATGGCTGCGGAAAGTGATCGAGACGCTGTTGTTGTAGACAGCAATACCACTCGACGGCGAGAGCGGAAGAGGGCTCGCGAGGACGATGATGTTGTGGCCATCCCAGCGGAGGCGATCAAGTTCAAGCTCATGGATGTCACTAATTCGAGGACAGCTCTGCAACCTATAGGCCATAAAGGTGTGCTGATTCTCATCCGATTTGATATCATCCATGTGCTTACATTTGTATTCAGTCTTTGAGCAAGCTGACTCTGACTGCGCCCAGAGTAGCAACAACCGCCAGTTCCTGGAAGAAAACGGCTCTCCACCATCTCTTCCCACCCCACGCGCATCATCCAGCCCTACACCGGCTTCTGAAGTGGACGCAGCGACGACTGCGGCTGGACGAGAGAAACGAACAAGAAAAAGCGTCAATTATGCCGAACCCAAACTGAACACGTATGTCTTCATTGATCTCGTTCATTTCCGGGACCTGAGCGCCTTCCTCCAAATAAACAGGAAAATGCGCAAGCCAGATCCAATTCCCGGATCCTCGGAATCCACCAGCTCAGGGTCGTCGAGGACGGCGGGCAAGAAAAGGTCTTCGGCTGCGGCTGTGATGGCTGCGTATCGTCCAGCAGCAGACGGCAACGATGCAGACAATGATACCGAGGCACGCTCCTCGCTTGAGTGTGCACGTCCTCTTCCTCTTCCCCTTCCTTCTTCTTCCAAGACAGAGGCAATGTTACCACTGCGAGCGATGAACGGGGGATACATCAACCCAGAATTATTTCCACTCCCAGCCTCGCGTCCTGGCTCCGCAGCTGCCATGTATTCTCCTGGTCCGCCTCCTCGAGCGGGCGGGAGCACGACTGCATCCTCGTCTGGCTCTTCGACTACGAGCACTGGAGTAAGTCTGAGGAGGAAGAAGTCAAAGCCGCAGATATACTTTGACAGCGATGACGAGGTTGGAGAGAGTGATGGTGCAGAAGCGGATGGGGAGTATGTTCCTGGTGGTGGTTCGAAGAGAGGTGGATCTTCGTGGGTGAATGTTAATGTGGAAGGGAGGAAGAAGAGTGCGACGAAGAGGAGTGCTGGTGGTGGTGCGAAGCAGGACTATGTGCATGCTGCACATGCGCAGGAGCTGGATATGCGCAGGCATAGTATGGCTGTGTGATAACGATGCACGCAGGCTGGCGGTCTCTTGATTCCTTTTCTCTTGATCTTTCTTTATTCATTCATGACAGACAATTGGCCGCTCGACCAACCAACACAACGACACGAAGATTACCCCCTCATCACTTTTTTGAAAGTGTAAATACGATTACCTATACTCACTCCACCCACATAGCAGCGGATAGCCTGTAAGCAGGCGTATGTACCCGATGTACATTATTTAGATATTGATTGTGTAGGAGGAAATTGGAATTTATTCATTTATCAAGATCATATGAAAGTATCTCCAAAATCATAAACCAATGAATTGTGCGCAAATGATACATATATACGTATTCCTACACCACTACGGACTACTATCCAACTGTACCTCAGGCGGCTCATTACTAGGATCCCTCAACCAGCCATCATAATCCACCTGTACGTCCTTCTCCAGCAGTTTATCAACCTGGCTCACTTGCCCATCAACATCGAATTGGGAATTGTACCCCATCCACCCACCAAACTTGTGCTGCTTCCCACCCTGCTGAGTCGACTGAAATGGAGGGTCAAACTCGTCGTCTGGATCAAAAGAAAACCCTCCACCATTACCCCCGTCCTCATCGTCCTCCTCTTCCGGATCAGAATCAGATTCTGCGATGGATGATAGTGATTTTGTAGGAGAGGCTATCACGTCTGGTTCTAGCTCGTCATGGTGTGCACTGAGCGCGTAAGGGTCCAGCATGAATGGATTATCAAGCGGAGATGGGAACCGGCCTGCTTTTACTGTTATCCTGGTTGTGGTTATCTGAGCGTGGCCCTGGGCATGGTTGGAATCGTTATCGTTATCGTTATTGGGGACATCAGCTTTGATCATGAGTTGCTCTGCAGCAACTCGCATAGGCGATTTCGGTTTCCTGCTAGGTGACCCCGATTTCTTGCCTCTCTTCGAAGAGGCAAGAAGCTCGGTGAGTGTGGGCAGGGGACGGCGTTTGGGTGTTGTTAGTCCTACCGCTGCTGCTGCTGGACTTGAATCAGGAATGATACGGTCTTTATCTGAGGATTTGGGGGTGGTGGGTGCTATCGGACTGCTGGACTCTGGAGGGGTTGCGTTGGACGCAGGAATGTCAGAAGAGGGGAGCACGGGCATAGTCCGTGCTTTTTTGGCAGGACGCCCAATAGGGGAGGTAGGTGATACAGGTCGTTTGTGTGTTTGGTGTCCATTTGGACCTGTCAGAGTGGTGGGTATCACTGGGAGAGATTGGGAGGTTCGTGTTTGGCCTTTTGATTTGTTTAAGAGTGGAGAGGAGGTACGCGGAGTGATGGATGAAGGGGGAGTTGAAGGAGGAGCAGAAGGAATGGGTGCGGGTTTCTGCCGACATTGTTCGGGGTTTTGGTCGCGCTTTGGGGTCGATGTAATCATTTGCGATGAGGGAAAGGAGGGTGGGAGAAATGACTTGTGGTCGATTAACTAGTGGCAGATATGAGGGTGAAAGGAGAAGCTTACTGTTTCTGAGATGTTTGCGATACTCTGTACAGTTCGAGTAGGTTGATTCTTGAGCGGAATAGATGCCTCCAAATCGTCTGGTTGACCAAGCTTTGAATGTGAAAGAACGTGCACATTTTGTGCGTTTTCAGATTTGCTGGGTTTGCTGGGTTGCTTTAAGCTCCCTGCATCTTCCTGCAAGTTCCGCTCTTGTGCAGCGCTATGATCCTTGGGTTTAGACAATTCCTCTACATGTGGGGCAGCATTGTCGCTATCGCGATTTCTGGGAGTGGGCTTTGGCTTGCCTACGAGGGCCTGGGTGTTTCGCTTTACCACAGAAAAACCCAAGCCAGACCGAGCCATCAAGGGATCATGAAGCTTTGCCTGAGTGGTGGCTGCCTTCAGATCCTTCTTTGGTTCAACGTCGACAGGCTTATCTTGAACCACGCACTGGACACCCTCTACACGGGTCAAACACTCTCGGGATATGGATTTAGACTCGATAGTCTCCGGAGGAGAAGGATCAACAAGATCAACATCGACCGTCTTCTTCCAACTCTCGATCTTCCGCTTGAGCCGGTCTTCTTCAGCTCTTCGCCTTTCCCATTCCGCCCACTCTGACTCAGTTCCAGCATTTATTCCAGGCTCGGACAATTCCCTGTCGGTGCGAGCCCCCATCCAGCGATAGCGCCCACTAGTGATACTCATGTGCAGGATTTGGCTGAGCGCAGCCCAATTCCCGTCAGTGGGGTTCCAGTCTGCAGCTTCCTGGGCCTCTACCACGCGCTTTCGCAGTTCCTCGACCCGGGCTTCGCTCTCTTTGTCCACCGGGGGTTCTTCGCCGTCCACAGGTGATCCGCAGCGAGAAGATGGTACCTCCTGCACGGTATGTGCCAGCGCAATGTGAGTACACGATAGAGAAGTCAGATAATTCGAAGTTGCGGGTTGTTTCGCCGCTGAACTTGGCCCGGCTTGAGATGACCCATATAATACGGGTGTGAAGAGTGTTTTTGTAGGCCTGTAAGCCTTGCTTGGGGGTTTTGTAGTCATTCTGAAAGGAGATTTGAGAGCATGCCACTGAGAGAACAATGTGGTTGAGACCAACCAAGGTTACCAAATTGGGTCACGAGGGTCCACACTGACTTCGACGACAAAACATATGGCGAGGTTGTTCTGGAGGGGTTCGGCCCTCTTCAGGCCCTCTGTAGCTACCCTCACTACACTCGGTGTTCTTGGAACCACATACCACACCACTGGAGTTGCCCATGCGGATAATAACGGCGCTTTGGAGGAAAACTCCGCCTATCTTGGAGTTTCTCAAACAACCTCGAGGAGGCGTACAGCAATTGAGCCTTTTCCTTTTGGAAAAAATAGGGATGTGATCTGGACGCACCCACAAGCTTCTGCATTCAGTGCTACAGTCGAAGGAGACACAGGTATTGCGCGGATAGACTCGCTCACCTTGTCCAAGTGAGTTTAAGTTCTTCAACTACACAAATGTCACTCAACACCCCCCAAGTAAAGCATGGTCGGAAGATTTCGTTGCGCTGAGATCTGTGTCGGTGTCGGGTCTCACGAAGGACGCCCTGTCAACTAACTGGTCCCTCGTCTCCCTCACAAACGGGTTCAGTGGCAGTCGAATCAGTCTCGAGCTAAGTAAAATAATCAATAACGCCGTTCTCGACGGTCTCACAACCAACCTCCACGAATATGTAAAACCCAATAGCGAAACTGAATTCACCGACGTCGAGACTTCCCCATATCCAACAGAGCCTTACGAAGAAGCCGTCAATCGGATAATTAAGAGTTACTTCGTGGCGATAGACACCGCCTTCACAGAAGACCCCTTGAAAGAGGCATTATCCTCTGGGAAGAAAGCAGATGCTATCCGTCCACAATCCGTTGCGCTGAGCGGCTGCTCAGCAATACTCTCCCTCTACGACTCCTCCGCTAAGCAGCTACGAATAGCACTCACTGGCGATTCGCGGGCGCTTCTCGGCCGCCCCCTGAAAAACAAAGATGGGAGCAAATCATATGAGGTGCACGTCCTCACCGCCGATCAGACAATCCAGCCATCATCACCTCATGCCTCCGTCATCGCCCAAGCTAAGCTGCCCCACCCCGTATCCCGCGCTTTCGGTGTCGCTTCTCTTAAATGGGGGCGTGAGATCCAGCAACGGTTGCACGAAGAATACCTTGGAGATCGTCCGTTCCTACCCACCACCACCGCAGAGCCACCATATATCACAGCAGAGCCAGTGATCACCTCGATCTCAATCAAGCCGGGGGATTTTCTCGTCTTGGGGTCCGCAGGACTTTGGAAAAGCTTGACGAACGAAGAAATTGTAGGCCTCCTGGGGGTCTGGGTCGACCGCGGGATGATAAACGCTGATACCAATGTTGTGGAAAGGTTATCATCCTCCGAACTTCTCAATCCCAGGGACTTACCTGTTGCTGGGAGGTCGGCCAAGGTGGTTAAGGGTGACTCAGACGATGGTACAACTATGTACCGCCGCTGGCGAACAAAGAAACAGTTCGTCTGCGTTGACCATAACGCTGGACTTCATCTCGCAAGAAACGCTCTCGGAGGCTCAGATCAAGATCTGACAGCCGCTCTGCTCAGCATGTCGCCTCCGCGGGCGGCTTTGTTTCGGTAGGTCAACTGGTAACGTGAAATCCTGGGGCTAATTTTCGAAATACTGCGCTTCTCAGGGACAACATTAGCGCTACAGTCGTGTTCTTTGACGACTAGTGACCGCGGTACTTGTGCATAGGGGGCCACTTTCTCAACAAACTGCTGCTGCCGCCAAGGTAGATGTCTACATAATACAATCTTGTCCCAGCAACTCCCATATGGTACCTTCCTGCCACGAATACGACTTTCACTTCAATTCTCTCCATGGCGAGCCTTAGCTGACCCACATGCACCACAGAGGTTGCTATTTATTTTTGGACGATGGCAATGAAGTCTTCCGGGGAACTGTGCACAGGGCTTGCGGCTTGAAGAGGTGTGCGGTTCAACTACTGGCAATAGCACATTTTTTGTAATTTTTTTTTGCTAGTCCGTAAATTGCATCGCGTTGGGCCCCGCCAGTGAACCACCATATAGCACAGCAAAGCCGGTGATCACCTCGATCTCACTGATTAAAGTGGGGGATTTCCCCATCTTGCGGTCCACAGGATCATGGGCGAGCCTTTTACAATGAAGAAGCAGTCGAGCTCATGGGTCCGAGCACGCGACGATACGTTGTTTCTTCGTCAGCCAGTCGTGGTACCTGGTTTTGTCGCGACGTCAGCCATCTTCGGAGTCGACCTTCCAGGAAGAAAACGTTGAATTTGGAAACGTGACGACGATCTTCTTTCCAAATTGGTGCCGGTATTTGCCATCCCGCATTCGACCCAGACCAAGACCTAACGGCCGCGCTGCTCAATACGTCGCTTCCACGGACAGCTTTGTTTCGGTGGGCCAATTGATAACGAAGTACTTATTTCCCAACGCTAATTTTTGCTATCGTGCCTGCCAGGGACGACATCAGCGCTTTAACAGTGTGTTTCAAGTGATTTCGGCGCATCCGAGTCAGTACGGGGCCACGTTCGGTTTATCGGGTTTACGCCAGTCCACCTAAAATTACGTTGACGGTTGACGTCAACGTCAACTCGGGATCGGGATGAGCTCCCATGTGGGTCGGGCAGTGATAAGTGCAAGTCTATTGATTCACCGGCGGATCGCACAAAACAACAAAACAGTGTCGCCACCGCCAAGGTAACTGTGTGCATCATATAATCTCGTCCCAGTAGCTCCCATGCCACATGTCACCCTTTGCGCTACGCATATACCGCTCCTCATTACTACTTTTTTGTTGACCTATGGCACATAGCGGTTTAGAACTCATAATTAATTTGATGATGAAGGGAGTCTCCGGAGGAACTGCATAGTTTTCTTCGTATTTCTACCACGCCAACTACGCGGCTGCTGACAGTACCTTGAGCGCGCCTGTGGCGGCTTGAATTTGTTTGTTTTCGAGAAAGTGTAAAGAAACCTCACCTCCAATGCCGTGAGATTTAAGGAACGTACAGTTCAATTGTCTGTGGAGTGCTGCGGAGTTGGATTCAAATTGTTTCTAAGAACTCGTGCAGTGCGGTAGATCATGTTATGCCTTTCACGTAACTGCTGTGGAATTCAGAACAAGCTAGCCTCGAGCTGTAACATATGTACCCTGCCCCTGTGGAGGTTGCACAAGAACAAGAAAGTGTCATATGCTGTAGCTTAAAATGGCTGCCGTCACCCCGTAAATTGGATATTAGCCCAATTGCTGTAGCCGCGCAAAACTATTGGCTCAAGGCAGGCTGAACGGATCTGGGGTTTCCATCAAGCTATAGGTAACTGTCACCCATCTCCGAAAGTGAAAGAAAATTTTAGTGACCACCCTCGATTCACCAATTAATGCCACTTCGGCCATAAGATTATGCCGCCGCGAACATGATCGTAGCCCACGCTTGACAAGCGTTGAAAAGCCGATGAGATTGTCGTCCTGACTTTCCCCGTCATCGCGGTCTCTTTAAACATTGCCTGGACATATCATCAGGCCAAAATGTAAAACAATGTCTGTGGGTGAATTTTGCATTTTATTCAGCCATTTAGCCATATTCCAGGTTCCAGTGTAACTCGCCGTTTTATTACGCAAATGAGACTTTTTTCCGGGCAGGTTTGGTTGTGGCAGAGAGGAGCCCAACGCGCGCGTGACCATCGTTGTCATCAGGCGGGAAGGTGGCATCCTGTGAACGCCGTTTTCGTTTTTTAGCCTTGTCCTTTTTAGATCGAGCCCGCTGAGCTGCGAGCAGGGCCTTAGTTTCTTTCTGGATTGATAAAAGAACGTCTGATGATGAGCGCCCCTCCTACGGCATGACACCAGGGCAATAGACAACGCACGATCTTGAGTTTCGAATTCGATAAACGTGGTTTTTCATCATCTGTATTCCGGTGGTGAGGCTAACAAGAAGAAACCGCGTGGATGATTAGCTTTTACACATAGCCCTAAAAGTGGTGTGACTCACCTGGGCCTGGTGATGTTTCTCAGCCTTTCTTAGTGCCTTTTGTTCCTGCGCTCCCGCTATTGACGCTGCCAATTCCAGAGCCTCCTATGAAGGGCAAAGAAGGTTCAATGCCGAATGAGGGCAGTCACGGCGCTTAGACTGACGTTCTTTGCCAGGAAATGTTTTCCTTTTTTCCGTCTTGCTGGAGCCGCTTTAGGCGCCAGTGGACCGCCCATTTGCTTTCGTTCCATTTGTGTGAACAGTTTTGTCAAGGAATCAAGGAAAGGTGACTCGCTCACGAGATGATGGATACAAAGCTTGTTTGTTCGTGTTACAAATCTTTACCTTTCGGCTTCTCAATTTTCCTTCAATATTGCGCATTGATCTTCGAATCGCGCCGTCATCCGAGTTAATAGGCTAGGAGTCAGAATATTTTACAGGCGGGGGAAGCGTTCACGCAGACTCGTTTTCGCGACCCCGATACGCCCAGGAGGAAGCATGTACTCTATCGCAAGTGGCAAGATACTCCCAAGTGCTATTGCAATATACCCATTTTTGAATTGAAAGCAACAGGTATGTTAGTGACGAATATAATTGCCCAACCTCTCTCACTGACCTACAAGTCATCTTCAGAAAAGGTAACGAAGATCATGAACTCCCGGAAACCTGAGCATCTGTCTACACTGTCATTACTCCAATTCTAGAACGTTGTCGCAGAACACAATCAGGAACGCATTATTTTTCGTGGCTGGGCAAGTTATCCCCGTTCCACGCGCCGCAAGACAGATTCCGGCATGGCAATACGAAAATAATCGAATTCGTAGGGAAGGCTGCCATTCTTCTTTGATATCTACTCCCGCTTTGGTATAAAAGCATCGTCTAATGTGCGCCAACTTGGCTCACTCAAAAGCCACCTTGCCTTTACACTTTCATCGTCGCCAACTTGGACTATGTGCCGCTGGCGCCAGTTTGTATTTTTTGTGTCTTGCATCCACCTGATTCACTTATTTTCGTTTCTCAGCGTTTGCAACCACTATCTCCAATGCGGACACAAAGAAACTCAAGTAAGTGATGTTCATGTCTGTTCAAATTGGAATTTCATTATTATAATAGCCAGAAGAGATGGTTAGTTCGTCATATTGCAAGTTGACTTCCCAACGTCTCATCTCTCGCATAAAGGTCTTCTGCGACAGCGCCAACTGTAAATTCAGTCCAAACCACCTGCCGACCTGCACCCCGCCAGATTGTATCAAAACATGCTGGCAATTGTGCGTGCTCACTCCAGTGATACTACCCTTCAATTACTCCACCTGATGTTTATCTTTTCGTTCTTTTTTTATCTCTCGATCGTCAATTTGCCGACAATATCATTCCACTGTCACTCCTAAAGTCGTCAGTTCCCGGAACAGTACAGTACGTCATGCTCCGAAGGTTAGCCGTGTGGCATAACTCATCTTTTCGGGGTTCACAGCGCCCAACATTAACAAGTTGTGTCCGAAATGCACGCGTTGCCGTTGAAAAAGTCATTGCCTGTCTTTGGTTCCGGACCGTAGAAGGCACATTTTCATTATTTATATTCCCTGTACCACCTCGTCCAAAAAAAGAAGCAAGGACTTTTGATTTAACCTGATGTGCATGAGTATTGAAGACCTTTTTCTGAACACGTTTCTGGCATTGTCTTGATAAATTAAACCTCCACGTTAACCTCAACGGCCCTTACCCCAAGTTGACTCGATTGCTGTTAACCCCCTTCCCAACTTTACTGGAAGGAAGCTTACAATATACATCAGACACCTACATGTAATTTCTAGGGTCAACGACGCACGATCCTGGTGCCGCTGAGATCAATTTGCTACCCTTGAAGTCAGATTGGAGATTATCTACCATACCGGAAGACCACGAGACAGAAGTAAACGACGCAAAGTCGCTATTAAGGTGCCCAACGGAGGTTCCGGATAAGACCTAAAGAATTGGGGTGCCCAAGACTGCGTCTTAATGATATTGTTGCTGAATTCACATGAGGTCTCTGACATAGACGGGTGTCAGCCCGAGAGACGGATATCACCGTCGAGGTTAATTAATAATTTGGATCTTCCCCATCTTCAAAAGGAATAGAAGCTGTCGCGGAGATGATTTGTCACCACTCTGGGCGCAACATGTAGACCGCCTCAGGTCCCCCACAAGCATCGATCAGAAATTTCTCAATGAGTTGGCAGTATTTCATATTTTTATTTGGAATGACTTCCTCTCCGTTGTTTAGGCAAGGAATTAACTTTTCAAGCCTCGAAGTCAAGCCTGGATTTTTGAATGTTCTCAGTTTGTGACATAGACAAGTGAGGAATATCCATTTCTTCGGAGAACACCGTAATGCGCAAGATTCTCGGAGATTCTGAAAGAAGCGGTCGTCTCTTCTACGTCAAAAAAATCTTTCTTCTCTGTCAAGTACTACTCAAAATAGGTCACAAGAAACACACGTAAAGAGGAGATAACAGGCGCCATAAATTTTCAGTCACTCCAATTCATCACATTGCTAACTGGAATCGTGAAGTGTGAATATACATGCAACGTCGCTTGGAAATAACAGGAACAGTGAATCGCTTCTACGACGGATAATTCGAATTGAAGCGCTAAACGCGCTTGTGGTAAATTGTTTCTGCGACGCACCTGAATAATCGGGGTACTCATCGTTTCAGGTCCCGATACCGTAACGGCGGTAAGTATTAGTAGAATAGGGTGAAAGGGTCGGCCCCCTTTCCGTACCTTATCGAACTTTAAGCGTTATTGGCTATTAATTTGGGTGGAGAAAGTGCGTTTGATCCAAGTTTGATCTCTCAAAAAAGACTACTTAATTGGGTCAAAGAATCATCGGAACAGCAGACTTGTGTGAGCCATTTCGCCAGCGAGATAGAAATTTTACGGGCTTCAGTTGTCTGGATCTAACGACTTGCGCGACCATTGGAGAAATTTGAAAGGCCATTGGAATCTTTTTTCGGAGATATAAATACATCAATTTCCTAGCGAAGACCCTCTTATATAAGCAGATCATCTCACCGGAGCTCTATCCGAATATGGGGTGCAAATGGCTTTCTCAGTGCTGTGTTCCGCCAACACATCTCTGACTCTTACGCCTCCCCCTCTACTGCCGACAGGTCTCTGTAATCGTGGTCGAAAGTGCAGGGATATACGACGCAATCACCCGACGTACACGATTGCAAATTGAAGTTGGCTTTCATCACATGTCACGCGATGCTACAGAACGTGATCCTCTTCTTCAAGCCACAATTCTGGCGGACGAGAGTAGGACGAAGGGAAAGATAGAAAAGACACGCATAGGTCCTCTTGAGCTCTCAAGGTCTACTCGGTATGGCATCTTGGCGGGAATATGGACAGCAACTTTCGTTTCGGTAAGTGGGTGGGGTTACGTCGTGGTTCTAGCTCTCTCATTGTTTTGTTTGAAGGCCTTGAATCGTACGTTTATTTCATCTCACCGAGTTTGGAAGGTAATTTGATTATCCTCTCAAAATAGAGACTCTTGTGCCCACAAGTACTTTGTTCTATTCCCGTACCTGAGTACTTTTTTTCTGATTTTGAACTCTTGCAGTGATCCCTTCGATATCATCGGAATTCAAGAAATCCAATCAAGCAAGTTGGCTAGGCACATCGTGGGCGACACTTATTCTGATCTCCAGTCCCAATATTGAAGCATTCGCAGATATCTCTTGGCCACATGCACGTTTACTCCTCTGTACGGACGTCTATCAAATGTCTTGGGTCGAAGGGGGGCCAATCAAACTGCTTTGCTGTTTTGTGGTCTCGGGGTGCTCATGTGTGGTTTGTCGACGAACATGTATATGTTAATTGCCGCAAGATTTGTGCGTTCCTCTCTCTTTTGAGTTATTTTTTGTCAAGATTGTAACCCCAAGCTCGCTGGGATGGGGGGCGGAGGCTTATTTACGACATCGTCGTAAGTACTTTGTTTCTAAAACATTTTTCCGTGCTCAACGGAAGGTCAGGATCATTGTCGGTGACATGTACAGCATGCGGGTAAGCACGTTTTAGGAAATATGGCAAGTAGTGGCTGTTCAAGTCGAGACTTTAGAGCCGTGGTTTGACTCAAGGCGTCCAAAGTATATTTAATGGAGTAAGTAATATTCGACCCACCCCTGCTACTTTTCTTCATTGTTGTGTATCAGCTCGGATTAGGTTTCGGCGGCCCTCTTGGTGGCATTATCACCGACTGGTCGGTATTTTTTACGGCATCCAACATTTAGAATCTGACTCGTTGATGTTCCCTCTAACAGGCTAGGTTGGAGATGGGCATTTTTAATCCAGATGCCTTTGTTTCTAATTTCCTACATTCTCACTTCATACAATCTGGACTACGTTACCGAGGTAAGTTTGTTTCCTTTCATGCCTCTTAACGGCGGTCAAGTATTCTTTGCAGGGTAAAGGCAAAACTGCAAAGGAGGTCCTGAAACGGATTGATTACGGCGGAAGTTTTTCTCTTCTCATGACGGTATGCTATTTTAATTCTATCCTAATGGCGACATAATATTTCTCGGGATTAGGTTGGGGCGCTCCTCTTATTTTTGAGTGCCAAATATAATGCGTCACTGCCTGTGAGATTTTTTTCCATGAAATTGTCTATGCTAATATAGTGATGGTCCTGTATATAGTGGTCGCACCCATATGTGATAGGCTGTCTCGCGTCATCTGCGATATTTGCTTTCGCCTTTGTTCTATTGGAATTTTTTGTGGCGCCAGAACCCGTTTTGGCACCACACCTCCTCAAACAAAAGATTCCAGTTCTCATTGGAATGTCGAACTTTCTGGTGGCGCTGTGCAACTTTACCGTAATGTACTACTTTCCTATGTGGTTTCAAACGGTCATGAAGACCAAGGCATCCGTCGCTGGTGTGTCCACCCCGAGATCACTGAAGTCATCAATGGTCTGACGAGTCACAGGATTACACCTTCTCCCGAACAGTATTTCTATGTCCATGGGCTCCCTTTTTGCTGGACTGATGATGCATGCGACGGGAAGATACAAGATGATTAACCTGATTTTTGGAGCGTTCCCATTCTTAGGAGCGTGCCTTATATACCTCATACACAAGGATTCCGGCCCTATTCAATCATGGTTTAGCATTGTGAGCCTAGATGAAGCTTTTATGTCTTTTCTTTTGTGAAGAGCACTTTGATCAACAGATGCCCCTCGGATTCGGTAACGGCGTTGTCCTGCAAACGATGCTGAGTACATTATTCAGTAATTCAATATCCTGGCGTATTGATAAGCCTACTTTCAAGTCGCGCTTCTCGTACACATACCTGGTAATTCATCAGCATCATTTACACTTCACAGAAACATAACATTACGCTACTCTAGAAAATCAGATGGCAGTAGGTACCGGATTTTCCCAACTCTTCCGGGGTGTTGGTAAGACAAAGAACATTCTCATCTTATCTCCTGTATTGAACGGTATCTATCGATAGGTCAAGTTGGTGGCGTGGCCATCTCTTCGGCAATTTTTCAATCAAATCTCGAGACCCAGTTGCGGAGACAGATCCATACACCTGACTCAGAGGACGTAGGTGCCAAGTGTGAAATCAATATGCCGTCGCATCTTACCAATACTTTTCCCCTTAGCTTATCAGGAGAATTCGACAGTCGTTCCGCTTCGTAGATACCCTAACTCCAGACCTTCAAAAGATCGCGAATGACTCCTATGGGGTCAGCCTGAAATCTGTCTTTTTATTTGCCGCTGTTTCAACATTGCTCTCGTACCTCGTGCGCTTACCCGTGAGTTATTTTGGCAGAAATAATGGTCCAGACCTTACACTTTTTTTGTACTCTAGGTACCAGATAAAATTCTGGAACATACGCCAAGGCAGCCTCGACGCGTCACAGACGCCGATGTGCCGTCTGAGGTTTCCCCCTCGTCAATTTCCGTAGAAGAGAACGTGGATGATGATGACTCCCAAATTCAGACGAACCCTAGCGAGAGAAACCCTCCACGAAGACGGTTGTCCGCTTATGAACCTAACGACGCGGTGATAGACCTTGAGAGCGACATTGTGGGTGGCTCCGCCAGGCCGACCACGTAAAGGGCACTCCATAGGGTATTTCTTGGTTTTCACCGGACCTTTTGACATATCATCTCCTTATCTATACCTCCTTATACCAACCCACGTTTGCGTGTCGAGGGTGATCTTTAGATTCCGTTCATGTTATTGTGTTTCAATTAGAATGTGTAACGCACCGTGGACGACGTTGGCCTGCAATTCAGTTGATGACGCCATGTAATTAATCTATTTTAACGAACTCTTGCGATCCGAGTCCCCCGCCGTCAGCGGTGTCGCTGTTTATTCTTTTCCTTTGGGTCACTGTCCCTGGGGAAGAATATCCGTCAGCAAACATCGTCTACCTGTAAACCAGGAAGGCTCAGGCGGTCAAGGGTTTTTATTTCATCATCCGTTTCTGACCACCGGTGTTCTAGGACAAAATATCAACAGGTATGTATCACCTGGAATAATTTCTTGGGGTCGTCGTCTTCTGTACACAGGATTCCGAGGTTCTCCTTACAGCCTGCTGTCAGAGCTGGTAATGTCAAAATTCAATAGAAGAGCTGGATAAGCTTAACGATGTGTATCCCTGCCGGGAATATCCGTCCGATCGCGCGCCTATCGGTCGAGATATGTGAACTTAAATGTCGTAAAGATACGGAATCCATTGGTCTGTAGTCATGCCTAGACTCGAACCAGTCTCTAACGGGTTCAATTCACTATGTTAAATACTAGGGGGTGGACGGAGGGGAGTTTAATGGATGAGTCCGGATTGGGTCAGGATAAGGCAGGTAATTGAACCCATAGATGAGTGATACGATCCCAATAACGGCTGGTGTCGAGACTCATGCCAAATTCAAAGGAGAGTCAACCCAGAAATAGACCAGCCCCTGAGTTTCGTACTATAGCTCGGTGAGAATACAACGACAATTTACAGCTTAATGACAATCCTTCCTGCCACCTTTCCTTCTTCCAAATCTGAGAAAATTCTGGGAAGTAGATATCATCAGTACTTCAACACCGTGGCAGCAGTAAAATCGGGAGCAGGCTCACTGATTGATGTCTTCCAACTTCCTGACTTCATATTGACATTTAACCTTTCCGAGCGCTGCAATTTCGAGGGCTTCCGCAGCATCCTGCTGGCTCCTGAATAATTTGACCACGTGTGAGCGTAACGCACACCAACTTTGTCTGTCTTCTCACCCAATAGCCGAGCCTACAATTGTCAAGCTCTGTAATATTTTAAGTTGCCGTATTCGCGTACAAGTTGATTTACTGCACCTTGGCGACTAGTAGAGGGACGGGCACGTTCAAGAGGCCAGCTCCTGCAGGCATTCCGACAGCAACGAGTATGCCAGTTGAGCGCAGATACATTATGGCTTGATTGAAAGGCCGTGCCTAAATCAATTACGTCGGCGTAAATATCCTTGATGAGTAGAGCGGGAAGATAACGACGCACATCTCCTGCTGCAATAATTGCCGCCTGGGGACCACCATCCGTTGCGGCCTTTACATCCTTGATAAGGTCTTCACTCTCCTTGAAATCAACCCATTTCTCTGCGCCTAGTTTGAGGACCATTTCCCTCTTGGCCTCGCCAGTGTCTATATCGAAACTGGGGTTAAATTTTGGTGCAGTATTTGAAGAAAGAAAAATTGACCGATGGCGAGAACTCGCAGACCCATAGCAGCGGCATACTGAACAGCTTTAGGGTAGCTCGGTCAGTCATATTACAGGCATGGAAGAATCAATCGAGTTTACCCAAATGACCCAAGCCTCCTCCCGCACCGGATATGGCGACCCATTGGCCAATGCTGCATTTCGACTGCTTCAAAGCTTTGTAGACCGTCATACCCTACCCCTCTTCAATTGGGATCCAGTGAGATTGATTGGTATGTTTGAAACATACCGCGCAAAGAATGGGAGTACCAGAAGCACCGTCCAGTCCCTCAGGAATTGGAGTGACATAATCGACGAAAGATACCTGGAAAGTAATCAACTTTAGGCGTCATAGAAAAGGATGATATAAACTTACGACGTATTCTTGGAATGTTCCATGCAACTGGAATCCATGCGAAGTTTGGAAACTTACAAGGCAGGCTACGAGTAAAGAATAACAATCCACTGTGGGTAAACATGGACACTGGATTTGGCTCACAAGATTCATGTCCTTTGCGGCACATCTCACACCTAATGAAAGAGCGGGCAGTCGGCTTTCGTGAAAGATTGAAACGCTCGAATGTTGGACACACCTCCCACATACCCCACCTATCCATTTCACCCCAACCCTATCGCCAATCTTCGCGCCGCCCGCGTGACTATGGTCACCAATTGCCACAATGCGGCCAATACCTTCATGTCCACCAACAAGAGGTAGTATAGACTTCCTGGACCAATCTGCCTTCCTGATGTGCAAGTCGGAGTGGCAGACGCCTGAGTATTCGAGCTTGATTAGGCATTCATTGGGCTTGAGCTCGGAGGGCTGAACCACGGGGTGATCAATTTTGATCACAATGTCCTTGTCATAATCCTCTAGAACGGCGGCTTTCTGAGTGAGTGGGATGGGGGTTTGCATTGGTGGTTCTGCAATTTGTCCCGTACCATCAAGTGTCTGACATTTATGGAGGTCGCGGATGAGCCGATGAGCGGCTACGCTAAGCCGGAATTACGGCGTGAATTCCAACAACCATCAAATGAGGATGTATTAGGGCCTTAGGGGAGGTCTGGGGAAGCCATGTGGCCGGTTTCGCGGGGTCAGCGAGAATGGCACAAGACCTCCAAGCGTCGTTCAAGGACCCCTGAAAGTTCACTAAAATGCCTGACCTGAGCTTATTTAGGCCATTTTGAGCAAAGATGGCACACTGGTGGACTACTTTAACATAAAATTGTGTTGGCACGCCAATGAAAGATGAGCGCATATATGAAAGGAAGCCATAGGCGGAGTTTTGGAGAAAAAGACTGAGAAATGTGCCCTCAGGGTCCATTTTACTGTCGAGATAGAAAATTCACTTTTGGGCGGAATTCAGACAAAAATTGGCCTTTTTCATCAGATTTTTTTCCCAAAAAGGACACCCAACCATCCAAATGATGCACAGATGAACCCAAAATTCGTGGGAAAATCTTCACCACCAAGGATGAGGCATCTAGGTGAGATTTCAGGGGTCCTGTCGTTCAGCGTTGGTTATTGAGCTCAAGGAGTGGGCACAGGAAAATCTGCATGCCATCTGCGGACACAGGTTGCGTGCCAGTTGCGAACCGAAAAGAAGTATCTGCGGTCACCTGCATGCAGACCAAGCCAGTTGCATGCAAATTAAACCTAGTAAGCTGAGTATCTGCGGGCATCTGCGAGCATCAGTGCACCTCACTGAGATTTCATATTTCCAACATATTTCTTTATATTTTAATTATCCTTCTAGTTTAACATATACGAATCTCTCTGATTCTTTGGGACTTGTTGGTTTGTACCTATAGGTCTGTACTAAAACCATTTTTTTGCAGAAAGGTACAAGTAACGAAGTGTCTGAGGCTATGACTAGTCAGCCACTGGCTTCTTACCATTATTTTCCTTCTTTATTGGACCTGACTGTGGTTGAGTTTTTTTCCAGAGACTTCGGGACTTAATAGCCAATGTCTGCCATTGTCGAGTGATGGAGTCTCACCTCTCATTCAGACTCACTCTCTTCTTCCCATCCCAACTTGATTCCCCACCAAACGAGGGACATTGGGGAAAACCAACTTTGGAAATCGACAAAAATCTCCCCTTATTTCCCTACTTCCCCACTGGAAAACCTGGATTCCGGACCTTTGGTGTTTCCCCCAATTTCCTCGATTAGACCGGTGTCAGCGGATTTGAAGGAAATTCTTGGGACACTCATAATATATATCACTGTCATTTCCCTCATGTTCACAATGTATTTCAGTGACATTTCCCCCACATTCACTAATTTCAAAACCATTTCATCCATGGGATTCATAAATTATACTGACGAAAGATGTCCTGCATCCAATCAACATTCCACCTGCAATACACTTGCGTTCAGCTTGCGGTACACTTGAGATTCATCTGCGACACACCTGCAACACATTTAAGATACACTTGCGAGAGTTAGTATCCATTGCGAGACTTGCATACACTTGCGTGCAACTTGCGCATCACTTGTGATACACCTGCGAGACCAATGCGAGACACACTTGCAAGCATCTGCACACAAAATGGATGTTTGCGAGCCACCTGCGGTCAACTTGCGAGTAGGCATGAGTAAATACGAACAAAACTCTTGTGTAGACATTTGAACACTGTATTCTGGACTCGTATCCGAGCATAGCAGTGGTGCACATTTGAAGTTCTCAAGTGAAGATTACATTTCTTTAGTTTAAATTTACTAAATACTATGTTGTAGTAGACTATCTATCTGTGTGACACCTGCGATACCTGCGATCCCTTTTGATTATCTGCAAGACACTTGTGGTCACCTGCAAACAGGCGGTCTGCAAGTGACCGCAAGTGGCTTGCAGATTTCTATATGCCCTCAAGGAGTGAGTGCATCTGGGCACCATGATGGCTCCTAATGTGTGTGGATTAAAATCACATGCACTTCACCAAGAAGCTGAGAGAGAGGTAAGTACTTGCATAGAGAAAAAATAACCTTGTAAAGAAGGGAAAGAGTACCATCTCACACTGGCTGCCAAAAATATCGACTGCATGCTGAGCTGTAGATGCAATTGAGATGTTATTTTACAACTAGAGGTTGACTTCATCAACAAAAACCTTCTGTATTGTAAATAGATTAGTAAGGGTTCTTAGTACACCCTCAGCTTCACCCAGTGAAAAAATTTCCAAAATGTTCCAATTGAACTCAACCATTTTCCTTGAGCAGTCAACATATACAGTTGAGTGCAAAAAGAATGAAGGTTGGTTCATTTTTCTGGTTCTTTCTAAGAATCTATTGTACCTCAAATGTATTTGTATATTCTTTTACATTATGTAGTTGTGTTACACTTC